CAAAAAGGTGCCATAGACGGGAAGACCCAAAGGACAGGGCATTGAGATTTATGAATATTTAGCATAAAACTATTTCAGAAAGAAGAGATGAGGTGTGCAAGTGTTCTGGGTAGGGGCATAGCCTGGATTTTGAGATTCTAAAAGAATAACAAGAACGGAATTAAGGCTTCACAGTGAGAGGAAGGAATAATACCAGATGAGGTCAAACAGGCAGAAGGATGACAGACTACACAGGAATTTATAGTCATGGATTTGTACTGAACTCTGAGAGATGAAAATTCTTCACAAGGTTAGGATAACGGATGTCAAAATCAGACTGAGATCTTAAAGGCTTACTCATTTATGTTGAGTTCTGACTGTGGAAGGTCATGGTAGAAGCGAGGGTACCATACTAGGCTATTGCGATAGTCCCAAAGAGAAGTGAGGGATTTGAGGGGTAACAGCAGCAGTAATGATCATTCAAAGCTTCCTGGAGATAGAACTGAGGTGTAACTCATCTGATTCAGAAGCTGTATGAAAGAGAGTGAATGATTAAGAACAATTTCAAGAATTTGGGCTAACAATTTAATAAGTGGAGGTACCATTTACTAAACTGGGGAAGAATGCAGGCCAAGGATGAAATTAGTTTTAGATAAATTCAGACGGAGATGCTTATCAGGACTTGGGAGATGCCATGGAGGCAGATGGACATGAGAGACTGGAGTTCAGAGGAGAGACTGGAGTGAGAGATGTGCATTTAGAACCTCTAGCGCATAGATGGCATTTAAAACTGTACAATTGGATGAAGTCCCCAGGAAAGGAGTTCAGAAGAGAGATGGGCAAGATCTTGGCACTCTCATACTCAGAGATTAAGAAAATAAGAGGGACCTGCTGATGGTATAATGGTTACATTGCTGTACACCTACATAGTTGACCACAGTTTGAATCCCAGACACAGGGGCTTAAAACTCACTCTGGGTGCATGTGTGAGCATGCCCAAAATTCCAAGAGGAGCATGGAGGAGAAGGGACTGTGGTATGGCCATTCTCCCCCCGGGGGTGATTTCTCTCTTTTTGTCTCTCTGGTAAACACACACATCCTATAGCAAAAAGCTCTCCCTTCCCCCCAAAAAAGAAAAGGAAATTGAAGAGAAACCAACAATGGAGTTTGCAAATAAGCAGGCAGTGGGGTTGACAGGATCCAGGAGAAAGTACTATCCTGGAAGCAAAGTAAAGACATTCTCTCAAAAGAAATGATCGAGCGTATCAGCTGCTGCCAAGATATCAGCGAGATGAGGTCCTTGAGATGATAATTTATTTTGGCATCACAGAGGTGATTGTGTTTTGATGGAATTGGGAAAACAAGTGTTTGATTGAAGTTACTTGTGGGGCTTAGAGTGCCTTTATAATCCATCCAATAGCAAGGAATCTTTGTTGCATTTTTAAATATTGATGAATACTTAAAACTTTATACTATGCAATTTGGGGTTGCCTGGCAGAAAAACATTAGAGTTTCCTTGATGTTTCATTAAGACTTATCAGTTGACCATGTAAAGTTTCTTTATTTGCATTATGCCCAAAATGCACTAATTTTAACTTGCCTGAATTCCTCATGTCTAATTATTTCCCTTTCATTAGAAGACTTAACAAGTCCATAAAAATAGAGATTAATGTAATTCAGGAAAATTCCATTTTCTCTGGGAAAATATAACTCAGTGCAGGCAGAATAATATGAAAGGGCCCTTGTACTTTAATGTGTTAGCCCACTTCCATGTGGTGCTGACAAAGATCAACTATCAAATGTTCCAGGTCAGAGAATAGTTGTGGGGATCCTTTAGTTAAAAAGTTGGGACCAGCAGTTAGCATAATGGCTATGTTGCTGGACTCCCATGTAGTCAACTGCAGTTCACGTCCCGGACCCGGTGGCTTAAAACTCACGCCGGGCGCGTGTGCGTGCATGCCCAAGATCCCGAGAGGAGAATGGAGGAGAAGGGATTGCGGCCTGACCATCCCCCCTGGGGGGTGATTTCTCGCTTTCTGTCTCTATGTCTCTCTCTGTCTGGCGAGTGCACGCACCCTATAGTAAAAACCTCTCAAAAAAAAAAAAAAGTAGGCCCTTCTTTGCCTTCATTCTCTTGAGGCCAATGAATATGTTAAATTAATTAATGTTGTTCAACTGTATATTCCTCTCCTCTTAGTAAAATCAACTATTAAAACATTAACTTATCTGTGAGGCCATATAACTAAATCACAGAATCCGTGTTTGCCATGTTTTACAAAAAAAAATCAATAAATAAAAGGAATAAAGTGTAAAGTATATAAAATATTAAACTCATAGATCCAAAAACAATTGTCAAGTGTCCTTCCAATGTTTATTACAGGTTCTTTAAAATACAATGTATAAATGAAAGCTATTCTATGTACTTCTCCAACACTATACTCTCTGCTTTTTTATTCTGTTTCTACAGGGGACATTTGGAGAAGGCATGGGAAAGACAAATAGCAGGAAAGGGCTAGAAAACTGAGCTGAAAAAGAAATTTGCCAAATTGAATTCATAGACTTCAATTTCAGTTTCACCAAATTGAAACTGTGATCTGAGAACAGAAATTGTCTTTCATGTGCACAATTTTTCTAGGCAAATGTTGGGTTTAGAGGGGTTAGAATTTGCTCCTGATTCCTGATACTCTTTATGTCTGCCCATTTCCCTCTTATTGAGAATACTCTTCTTGCAATGCTATAGACACAGAATACATATTTCCTTATGTACTGTTTGAAATTCATTGGACTTACTTCCAAGGATGCTTTCTGAATTTAAATCTGGTAAACAATCTATGCTAAAATTACTTTGCTTAATTCCAGATTAAAACCAAACAATATAACCAATCAACCAGACTTTACCAAGTTGAAAGTATACAGAAAGTAGAAGAATATATCAGAAACAGTGGGTGTATGGCTAATCCTCAGTTCACCCAAAGACATAATACTGATTCCAGACATGCAAATTCAAAAAAGGACTTGGTAAACCCTGTACTAGAAAACATGGATCCCAGGCCAGCCACTGGTATGGTGGATAAGATTGCTAAATCCCAGATGACCAACTGTGCAGCTTGAGTCCTGGACCGACAGCTTGAGGAACATGCTGGGTACATGTGCATGCATGCCCAAAATCCTGAAAGGAGGAAGAAATGGAGGGAAAAAAATTTAGATGTGACCATGACCCATGGGAGGTGGTGGTGTAGGGAGAGCTTTCTCCCTTTCTCTTTCTCTCTCCTGGTAAGCTCTGACAAATTTAATTAAAAAAATAAAAAGACAAACATAAAACTTACTGACTAGACTGACTAGAGGGTAAATGTTAGTTATATTTCTTTTAATTTTTGCCATGGACTTAAATTGCTTTCTTATCTATGTTTTATTATTTAATGTCAGTTAGCACCAAATAAGTTATTGACAGACTCAGGTACAAATCCTAGCTTTGACACTTACTGGGTATCAGTTATCTATCTTCTGTGTGTCTTGATTTTCTCAAACAGAATGGTGACAATCCTCATATTATTAGATTGTTGTGATGATGATTGTATCAACCAATTTATGAAAAAAAATACTACAAAATAGAGGTTAATAAATTTTATCTGGAAATTTAATAATATATGTTTTAGAAACAAAAAATTTGACAAGTGTTTAATAGGGATAAAACAACAAAAAAGTTGGGAAAACATTTATTGAGGGTGGGCATTTTTCATTGATAATAGGAAGATTCATATTGTTAAGTATTTAGTGCAGAAACATATATATATATATGTATATATGTTCATATACACACACATACATATATAGATAGATAATTTTTAAAAGTTTAAAATCTTAATTAGATTCCTTTATTAAGAACCATCAAGATAAAAAAAAATATATTGGGAACCAGCAGTTAGCGTAATGGCTATGTCGCTGGACTCCCACGTAGTCGACTACAGTTCGCGTCCTGGACCCGGTGGCTTAAAACTCACGCTGGGCGCGTGCATGCGTGCCCAAGATCCCGAGAGGCGAATGGATGAAAAGGGATTGTATCATGACCATCCTCTCTGGGGGGTGATTTCTCACCAGATGTTTATTCACTACATGCGTTTAATTTTTCCAGATGTTATTTCAGAAAACTAAGAGATTATTTAGTCAGCCCAGGAAGAAAAAAATATCATACTTGATTTCACAAATGAATAAGGAATCTGTTTCCACAATGTAAGGATACCTATCTATTCACCCACCCACCCATCCCTCTGTGCGTGCCTATCTATGTGTTTCTCCTTCCTGTTAGAGTTGCACAATGCATACAATCAAATGTCAACAAAATCTCAAAATACAGTTAAATTTAGGATATCTTTGCCTGTAATCACATTTCTACCTACTCTTAATTATTTTTTGAAATTTGGAAGACTTTACATATTATTGCACAAATTACTATTTGGTTCAAGTTAGAATAATCATTGGTGAAATGCTAATCTGCAAAATCAACACAAGGGTGAGCTGACTGCCATCTTGCATTCAGTCAGAAGCTTCCAAAAGAGGGCCGTGTGTAGAAGTATTACTGATTGGGATGAGCAGGTTGTGTAATGGCTACATCACTGGACTCCCATGTAGTCGACCACAGTTCAGTTCAAGTCCTAGACCTGGTGGCTTAAATTTACGTGCCCAGCGCGTGTACATGCCCAAGATCCCGAGAAGAGAATGGAGGAGAAGGGATTGCAGGATGGATAGCACCCTGAGAGGTGATTTCTCACCTCTGTCTCTGTCTGTCTCTCTGACAAGCACACTCAGCCTATAGGAAAAAAAAAAAACAAACAAACAAACAAAACAAAACAAAACAAAATCCTCTAAAAAAAAAAAAGAAAGAAAGGAAGAAAGAAAAAATAAGTATTATTGATTATCAACTAGGAACTCGTGACTCAGAAATAATGCCTAATGTCTGTCTCAAGCATTTTGTTCAACCTGTTTTTATTTTATGAACAGTAATATATCTTGATATCTTCTGGCAGATGAATCTTTGCATCATTTAAGAACACAAGCAACAAAATTAACTGTTATTAGACTTTGGTTTATTGTAAAATTTAGCAAAGTTTTTCTGTAATCCCTGACCCCTTGCTCTGAAAACAAAAGCAAAAACATAATTATTGCTTATTTTTTCCCCCTATTTTGTGCCACTGTAAAAAGAAGGGAGAAAAATCCATATAATAAATAAAAATAGAGCTGTAACAGAGAAAAACAAATCAGTCCAGATGAGAATATTAGGAGCAACAGAAATGCCATTAAGCAGTTTTGAAATAAGCTTCTTTTTAAAAGGTTGCATTATTAAAAAAAAAAAAAACACACCAAAAATATAGCAGCGGAGAAGAAGGATAAATACAAGTTAATTGCACACCAGTCCCATGCAAAAAAAAAAAAAAAAAAAAAAAAAAACTGAGTCATTAGCCAAAGCAGTAGTACTCAGAATCCAATTTGGGATGCTTGTGCAGTGCCTGGGAATCCTCTATGATGGAGCTGTCACTGAACTGGTCCAAGTCTGAAGGGGTCTGATGGCCTGGGACATCATCTGCCAGAGTGTCCAGATAGCTTCCCACGGAGATGCCATCCAGCCCATCACTGCTGTCATGCAGGCTGTTGTAGCTGCCACGTAAGGAGGTGCTCTGACTCTCCAGCAGACTGCACAGGCTGCCACTGAGGCTGCTGCCTCGGCTGGTGATGGTGGCTTTCTCTTCAATCATCCACTTGATGGACTCGATACTCTCATTGATAATGAGCAACTGGCGCATGAGCCTGACGTCCGTGGCTCTGAGGTTAACCTATGGAGAAACGAGAGCGAGGAAAAACATGTCAGTTTTCCTACAATCTTGAAAGACTCCAAAGTCATTTGGCTCCTACCTGCTGCAGTCCACCACTTTAAATTCACAGAATAAATGAGAAGTGCACTTGATTTCAGGATCTTTCTGAAAACTGCTGATGACGGTAGAGGTCATAATCAAAGAAGTCACTTCCTGCCAGATGTCAGGCTCCAAAAGGGATAATAAAACTCCCACAGAGGCCCTGACACTAGCCAAGCTGCCTCACAATAGACTGAATGGCAGGTTCTCTGTTAAGAAATCTATTCTCTCTCTCTCTCTGGATAGACGAATAGCTTATCCATCAATGGGAATATATATGTGGACCCTGAGAGGTGGGGAGAAGAGGAAGGCATAGAAATGAAGGAATCAATATCCAAATCATAGATACCTCTGTTTATTCAGTGACAATGTGCCAGGCTTCACCAGGAAAATTCCACATTCATTAGCAAAATCTAATAACACTGTACTGCAGGTATTATTATTTTTATCCTCATTTTATGGATGCAGAAACTGAAATCTACACTCAAAAAATTAGAGTACAGAAAAGGCCCTCACTCTTTATGACTACAATGACACATACAATGTTGAATAATGTTTTTAAATAAAATCAAAGTACCCTCAACTCCCTAAATAAAGGGAGTGTTGCTACAGTAGGCTGATCAAATTTGCAAGATGAAATATTCAAGTATATTTTTAGATCTGATTATTTATTGTAGATATGTCAGGAGTACTACAATCAAAGTTGGAATATGAGACTATGGGAAGGTACTACAACCCTCTAAGTGCCTTTTAAGTGCATGGTCCTTTTGACAATTCTTTGTTTGTTTTAGAGAGATTTTTGCTATAGAATGTGTACACTTGCCAGAGAGACAGAAAGTGAGAAATCACGCCTTGGGGAGATGGCCATGCTTCAATTCCTTCTCCTCTCTTTTCTTCTTGGGATTTTGGGCATGCATGCACACCTGCCCGGAGTCAGTTTCAAACTTCAGGTCCAGGACTTGAATCGCAGTCAGCCATGTGGAAGTCCAGCAATGTAACCATTATGCCATCTGCTGGTCCCAATGATTCTCAGTAACTCCCAAGAAATCTGTCTCTACACCACAAAGCAAAGTCTGTTTCTAAGTACCATGGTTTAAGGGGAACCCTTGCCTTTTCAAGGTTGTAGCAGTTTTGGAAATGGAAATGTTATGAGAACCCCCATGACCCTCCCATTCTTGTTGGGATGGAAGAGATGTAGCTCTTTTAAATATTCCAGTGACTGGGTTGGGAAACAGGGACACGTTCAGCCACCAGAGGTCACAGTTACATTCAGTAAAGTTTGAAAATGAATTCCTGTTCCTCCAATTAGAGCATTAGCCCCATAAATTGGACCATGCTGATTCTCTTTAAGCTCTAGGGGTAGGCCCAGCCACAATTGTGTGCTGGCCACTGCTGCCTGACAGATTAAGACCATGTGGGAGGTCCAAGTTTGATTCCTAGCCCACCCTAAAAAGCCTAGCACAGTGGGTTCTTATATTCCAGCTACTTTGGAGGCAGGAAGGTTGCAACATATCAAGCTGTGCCGAAAACACTATGCATAACCCACACACACTACCACTACTACTACCAAAATCTAGGGCTAATTCAGGTTTGTAGGTTTCTAGAATCATCAAAGGTATTATTCTTGAATGACTAAAGCCATAAAGGAGAAAGGAGCCACTTGTCTTCAAAAGTATGTTTTCATATTTTTCTGGTGAGAAATTAATTCATAACTGAAGACTAACTTTGGATTGAGTGGACACAATGAACAAACATTAGGAGAGATGGGATTTCCAGTAATGACTCCAATAGATGCAAGATTATAGGTTTCAAAAATATGTAAATAAAAATTTAAAAAGCATAAAGTATTATTTTAAAATTCATTTTGCTTGACTATTAAAGTAGCTTGAGTGACTTCCTCATCTTTCCTGCAAAAACCAACAAAAATAAATACCATATAGGGTAATAGTAAAAATTATTTCTGGGGTACCAGACGGCATGGTAGTGAAGGCACTGGACTCCCACATGGGTCACTGTGGTTTGAATCTCAGACCTGGTGGCTTGCTTTCTCACTTTCTCTCTCCCACTATCATGAGTGTACATGCCCTGTAGCAAATTAAAAATGATAATAATAAATAAAATTAAATAAGTATTTCCAAAGAAAGAAGTGATTTCCAAGGTGTTCATGAACAAAAGATTGTGAACTTAACATGTCCTGAGATACTTTTCTATCCATATTTGTGGTGGTGTCTCAATGACCTTGCAATGAAATGTTGGCAAAACATGTTGGCTTTCTGTACATCTTACATTCAAATGTAACCTGTCCCTGCACCAAAAGTCATCAAGATACTGTTTCAAGTTACAAATAATACAACAAATATTTACAGATCAGGAATAATTAGCCTAGTTTTACTGAGGAGCCTAGAAAATCAATGAGAGTCAAACTCTTACAAAATTCTTCAGCAGGCATCTGGAGCTGATAAAACTGGCTGTACCCATTACAGGCATGGTGCAACGGCAATCTGACCATTTCTCAGCCACTCCCCAAATGAACCACAGCTGCGTTTGCTCATATACCCACTATGTCCCATGAAAACCCAACAACTATGCCCAGCTTCAGGCTCATCACCCTTACTCACTTCTGAAATACTTCACTCTTCTCTCTGAACCCTCCTCTTTCTTCACGTCCTACTTCTGTCAGGTACTACTTGCTGTCTCCAGCCATCTCTTCCAGTCCACTTAAACTCTCCATTCCTTGTAGTTTGCACCTCACAGTAGATTTTAATTTTGTCATAGTGTATATTGCTACAGATTATTGTGTTCTTCAGTCTTTTTTAAAAAAATACTAAACTGTAAGCTCCTGAAAGAAAGAAGCTTTGTTTTATATTTCTCTCACATCTTAAGATTTGTTTTAAGCATTGACTGATTTTTAGAAATTATATCTAAGCATAGGCCGATTTTTAGAAACTGACTGATTTTTCTAGTTTTAGGGTCCGCTAAAGTTCAGCTCTTAGAACAGTCATAACATTTCCCCAGAAACTGTGCCACTCAGGGGTTAAAACACATTTAGAATAAAGTTTTTGTCAGCAATGTGTCTCTGACTTACAAAGTGGCTGCATCAAATTCAAATATCTCAGTTTTGTTGAGCAATAAGAATAAAAGGGGAGCAGACTATGGAATAACAAAAGCTTCCTTTGACCATGAAATGATTTATTTAAATAAGAAAATCTTTTTCTTCTAAGGACAAAACATTCACAGGCCATTGAACCACTGTTGGGAGAAAAATGACGAAAGCAAGTCAGTTAGAACATGTTCATCTGGCTCACAGTCATTATAGATTTTACTGTGTCTCACCCTGGGTCCTCCAGTGAGAGTAAACAGCTTCGCACTGTGGGAGCGCTGGGTGCGCCAGTTCACACGGTGTCTACTGCTGGAGGTCCATGACCCTGGGGAGCTCCAGGTGCAGAGAGCATTTGCCTGGCTGGGTGCTACACACTGTTTTCCCCCAAACTAGGGTGCAGCTCTGCTACTGATAAGGCTTGAAAGTATGCACGATCCACCCAAGAGCTAAATCACAGTGTCCCCTCTGTCTCCAATAACTGTCTGGCCTTTCCACTCTATTCAGTCTTTACAAAGTCTGCCCATCAATTAAGAACAAAATAGCCTTCTTTGGCTGCATCAGACCAAAGTGGTTCCTTCAGTTGAGGTTTGGTATAAAAGAAATCCCAGAAGTTCATGGAAAAATGCAATTAAAATATGAATTTATTTTGTTGCCCAAAAAACACACTAAAATTCATGCAAAGTTTTTCATAATATACATTTTCTGGAGACTTTTTGAAGACCTCTCATAAAGTCCTATGACTTTACTGTGAGGATATAAAGAGTTAGGACTTTACTCAGGATCTAAGTTTGGATCACCTCTTTGGAAAACCAATTCTTAACCAATCATGGTATCCAATCCCCAAACCTCATTTTATATTCCATTTCTGTGTATCTCATTTCCTTCATAATATCGATAACTAGTTGAAATCATCCTACTTATTATTATTTATGTACATATTATTTTCTGTCTGCTCCACAAGCATGAAGGAGCCAATGGAAATACGGAATTTAGTCTCTCCTGTTCACCACTCTGTGCAAAGATCTAGACGAGTGCTTGGCACATAGTAGGTACTGAGACCAGCAGTTACTGTAATGGTTATGTTGCTGGACTCCCATGTAGCCGACTGTGGTTCGAGTCCCAGACCCGGTGGTTTAAACTCATGCCGGGCACGTGTGCATGCGTGCCCAAGATCCCGAGAGGAGAATGGAGGAGAAGGGATTGCGGCGTGGCCATCCCCCCTGGGGGGTGATTTCTCGCTTTCTATCTCTCTGTGTCTCTGTCTGTCTGGTGAGCACACATGCCCTATAGCAAAAACCTTTCAAAAAAAAAAAATGTAAGTACTCAATTAGCATCTTTCCAACCGTTGAATTACCAACTTTGCCTCAGACTGGACCATCTGTCAGGAACCTGGGGTTTCTCCGTGAATATGTGACTTGAGAAGGGAAGTAGTAGCTTCAGGAAAGCTCATATCAGTATTAAAACATGTCATGCATATAATTCCATTTCTATTCATTCCACTTTAAAATTCAAACATTGAGTAATTGGTGTGAGGTCATGCTAGCTTAAGTTTACAGAGTACAAGAGAGTATCTCTAAAAGGAAGTGGACTTCAAGGCGTGAGTCACACTCCAAACATTTTTCTGTTTGTTCAGAGGTGATAACTGGTACTAGGGCAGCACAGGTGTTCTGTAAACACTTGGTGAAATGAATTAAACAAAGGGAACACACAGAATGTGTACCAAAAACTAAAACAACAACAAAAATGAGGATTGGGCTGGTAAGAAATGTGGAATGTCCTTTCTTCTTTTCCTATTCACTACCCTATCACCACCCCCAACTCA